ACATCTTGCTTGCTTCTGAGTTTTTGCAATTAAGAATAAAGCTGCTGTGAACATCCATGCGCAGCTTTTTGTATGGACCTGTTTTCAACTCACTTGGGTAAATACCAAGGAGCATGATGGCTGGATCCAATGTTGAGTGTGTTTGGTTTTGTAAGAAACTGCCAGACTGTCTTCCGAAGTGACTGCTCTATTTTGCATTTCCCACATATAACCCTTTTTGAAGTCAGTTTCCTTCCCGGTAAACCGGTTTGGAGGGACCAGGTGACCTCTAGCTTCAAATTCTAGGGCTCTGTATGACACCAGATGATGCTTTGTCATGTGAACATGTGCGAGGTCCCCAGACATTAAAGCCGTGGCAACCAGGCACCCCCATGCCCCGGTCCCTGCGTGCCCTCGGCCATTGCCGTGCTGTGCTGCTTTTGGAATGTGCCACTTGATGGATTGCAGTGCGGATGACAGAGCGGCAGTGGAAGGCAACAGCAGTGAGGTTGAGCGGCATGTTGGCAGTCATTTAACCATTTAGGACTGGTTTTCGGCCTCGAGTGTGCTGGGATTTGATGAGAGTCCCCAATGGGTGGAAGCACGGGGTCTCCGGGGGCTTTTCCTTGCAGGTTGGGAGGCCTGAAGCGTTGGGGACGGCAGGCGCGAGGCGGCTGCGCCCTCTGTGACGCGCGCGCTGGCCCGCAGGGGACGCCCTCGTCAGCGGCCCGGCCTGCCCTCCGCCGCCAGTGTCCATCCAGCGATGGGGCAGCCGGGAGAGGAAGGCTGGGTCTCCCGGGCCTCTGTAGGGCGCGCGCCATGCCCTGGTGGAGTCACCTTTGCTGTGAGTGGCGCGTCCCCCCGCGGCGGTTCGCCCCGGGGACGTGGCGGGCGGGACGCCTGGTGTCCGTTAGCACCGGCCAAAGACGGGCCTGTGGGCTTCCATCCTTGGACGCACGCAGGCAGGTGTTGGGAGGGGACCAGGCGATGCCCGGGGCTGTGGAGAGACCCTCCCGGCTCGAACACAAGACCCTGCTGCCCCGGATCTTGTCCTGCCCTCGGCAGGGTTTGCCCAAACCCTCCGTCCTTGGAGCCTTCATCCAACCCGGAGATTTGAGGACAGGACCGCAGTGCAGGCGATGCCCCGGGCCGCTCGGTGCTTCTTGCCGGAAGAGCGCGCAGCCTGGAAGACACTGATTTGGAAGGGGTGTCGGGGTTGGAATAGAGACTGTGCGGGCTGGAGTCAGCTGGGAAGGGCTTTGGGCAGGAGAAGAGGTAGAAAATTATCATTTTCAAATGATAATTTGATGAGGTCTCAAAAAATCACAAAGGCCAGAAATTGCTTTCATTAGAGAGTCTGGAAACGAGCGAAATGTGGGATGCGAGGCAGGATGGACAGGCCTCGCTGCTGGGGCTGCAACCTGGGGAATGTGTAGCGAGTAACAGGAAAAATAAGATGTGGGTTTCAGTGCGGGTTGCAAGCCTCCGAGTGGTTGGCCTCGTGATCGCACGTGTTTTGGGGCAGGATACATACCTCTAATGTGCAAGTGTGCGATCAGAGTTCGATTTTTCTGTTGAAACCTAATTTAAACGGCCTTGGGCCCTGTAAGGTCTCTACGGGGGCCTGGCCTTGTGCAGAACGCAAGTGGCAGCTGCAATCAGGGCTGAGCTGGGTTGCCCACGCTGTGCACAAGGCACAAAGGCGTCATCTGGGCCAGCAGGGGCTCCGGCTGCAAGGTTCCTCTGACCACAGTAGCTCCCAGGATTACTTAGGTCAAAAGGGACTACAGACCAGTTGACCAGTTAGGATTTAAAACTTTCCTGTGATGTTTTCTATACTTTTCTTTTTTTATGTGTTCAGCTCGTAGAACATTCTATCTAAAGAGAAGATCTGAATATTGCTAAGCTGTTCCAGGGCTATCAATAGCTGTTTTGTTTTGCCAGTTGGCAGCTGTTCGTCCTTGTTTCCTTAGATTTGACTGTAAACATTCCAATCAATCCCAGAATTTTAAAAAAAGTGTTACAAATGGAAACACAGATTTAGGAACATGGAGGGAAAATTGGGGGGAATATGGTGTGTTTAATACCTGTTTTCTCCCAGTATGTTAGCAAAACGTCTGCCTTTTCCAATGAATTCTAGAAGTTAGTTAATGAGTGTTTTTAACTCGTACGTGTGGCAGGAAACTTATGTTTGTGTTCATTACTAATAATACTGTACTGGAACACAGTTTATTATTGGGGTTTGACTTTTTTCTCTAGTGTATTTCCAATGATATCATCCACCTTTTAAAAAAGACTGTCACGTCTCTTGTGTTGCATTAGAAGTGTTTGTAGAAAGTTCTGTGGTGGGTATGCTTTAATAATTGGGGAAATTTGTAAGAAGTAGTTCATTGAAATGCACTTAAAGAAATCTTGAGATTTAACTACAAGGAGGTCTATAATGGGAAAAAATGGAAACTGACAGCATTGTCTTCTCATTTCTGAAGATTATACATGGTTTAAAAAAAAATAATGGAAAGATAATGTTCCCTGGAAGACTCTGACCTAAAAACAACACTGTTGGGGGTGGGACATAGATGTCTGGCTCTTTCTCTCTCTTGAAATATTTGCCTCCGTGTTTAATGTGGATGATCTTTGTTTCTTTCTTGTTTATGAAATCTAAAGTTGGTCACTAACGTGTGTATTCCATAGCGATTTTTCTTTTTTAAGATTGGCACCTAAGCTGACATCTTCATCTTCATCTTTTTGTTTTTCTTCTTCTTCCCAAAGCCTTCCAGTACATAGTTGTATATTCTAGCTGTGGGTCCTTCTGGTTGTGCTATGTGGGACACTGACTCAGCATGGCTTGATGCGTGGTGCTAGGTCTGTGCCCAGGATCTGAACTGGTGAACCCGAGGCTGCCAAAGTGGAGCTCACGAACTTAACCACTCAGTCATGGGGCTGGCCCCCATAGTGATTTTTTTTAAAAAAGAAAATCTCTTAGGAAGGGTACTTCAGGTCCATATAATGAGATTTTTGGTTTTCCTTCCAACTTCCTTTGGTATCTGAAATGTTCAGTTCTCAGTATTTTCAAATTTTTATTTTTTTAAGGCTCCCTTAGATGGTGATATCAGTTCTAATAAGTGAGGATTGGCTCATTCCCAAAACTCTTGACAGAAACGACTGTGGCCCTGTCACCAGGGCAAAGGCCCGCCCCCCACAGCCGCTCTGGGGAGAATTAGCACTTGTCCTCAGTACACTTCCTTAATCTCTGCGGAATAACAGGCCCAGATAATCTACCGTTTTCATGTATGAATATCCATACATCTGGTGATGTTTGAAAAGAAAAAGCAAGTGGGAAAAAAAGGACATTCGGTTAACTTACAGCACCATCCAAGGCACACTGAAACAGGGCTCTAGTCTTAACTTGGTGTAGCACCTTCAACAGTTCTTTAGTTAATTTCTACGCTTCAGTTTCCAGAGAAAACCCAATAAATAGTACGATGGAAATTTGTAAACATAGATTTGTAAATATGTTTTACATATTTACAATATATAAGTAAATAAAATTATCTGTGGGGAAATAGGATTTTATAGACTGAAGGAATTTATGGATTTTGGGAAGCGTGTGGTTCTATATTTCCAAATATTGTATTTCAAATATTAATTGCTGTGTTCTAATGGTTCCCTATTGGTATAGAGACTAGTTATAGTTGTTAAGCTTCATTTTGTGCTGCAACATTAAGTATGTTGTTAGAATATGTTTATTAAGACCTTTCTTTGTGTCAATTTTAATTGACCTTTTAGTTTACCACAGAAAGTAATACATATCCTATGTAGGAAATTAGAAAATTCAGACAATCAAAACTAAAATATGTCACATTCCCACCCCCTGGAGATCGTATGTGATGGCGATGTGTGCATGTGAAAGAGACAGATTCTTTAAAGCAAAATGAGGTCATACTATATATACTGTTTGGTAACCTGCTTTTTCTTCAGTCAAAATTTCTACTCGTTCATTTCAGTAAAAATTTATCTCATCTAATCCCAAATTATATTTACATTTTCCTAAGAGGACCCAAAAGTGTCCTTTAGCTGGTTTGCCCAAACGAATATCCAATCCAGAACCATGCCTGCCATCTCTGGTGGTTAATATTACTTAAATTTCTTAATTTAGCATGGTGCTCCTCCTTTTATTAAATCACATTGATTTGTCTCTCTCTGTCTCTTTTTTTTTGGCGAGGAAGATTAGCCGTGAGCTAACATCCACTGCCAATCTTCCTCTTTTTTTGTTGAGGAAGATTAGCCCTGAATTTGACATCCGTGCCAGTTTGCCTCTGTGTGGCCCTGAGCTAACATCTGTTGCCAATCTTCCTCTTTTAGTTTTTCTTCCCCAAAGCCCCAGTATGTAGTTTGCATATTCTAGTGTAAGTCCTTCTAGTTCTGCTCTGTGCGACCCCACCTCAGCATGGCTTGATGACTGGTGTGTAGGTCTGTGCCCAGGACCCAAGCCATGAACCCTGGGCTGCCAAAGTGGAGTGTGCGAACTTAACCACTCATCCATGGGGCCGGCCCAATGAACCTGAATTTTTAAATGTCATTTGAAAGAAGGAGATGCTGCCTAATCTATTGAGATTTACAAATACTGATAAGACCCTTACCCTATCCTGGAATTGCCTGACATTAAAGAGAGTATTCAGGGGCTGGCCCGGTGGTGCAGTGGTTAAGTTCACACGTTCTGCTTCAGCAGCCCAGATCACCAGTTTGGATCCTGGGTGTGGACCTATGCACTGCTTGGCAAGCCATGCTGTGGCAGGCATCCCACTTATAAAGTAGAGGAAGACAGGCATGGATGTTAGCTCAGGGCCCGTCTTCCTCAGCAAAAAGAGGAGGATTGGCAGCAGATGTTAGCTCAGGGCTAATCTTCCTCAAAAAAAAAAAAAAAAAGTATTCCTTGGTCATGTTTTAAAAATGTTTACTTTTCTTGAATTGTAATCATTTTCTCCCTTGTCCCCCTCCCCTCTCTTTTTTTCTGTCAATAGTTGGACAGAGAGAATCTGAAGATGTGAGTGAAAGGGACTCAGATAAAGAGATGGCTGCTAACGCGGCGGTTGTCCAGGACATCACAAAGGATGGGCAGGAGGAAATGCCTGAAATGATGGAACAGATTCCTTCTTCAGAGAGTACTCTGGGGGAGCTGACACAAGCTGCTGAGTCCCAGGCTAATGATGTTGGATTTAAGAAGGTGTTCAAGTTTGTCGGCTTCAAGTTCACTGTGAAAAAGGATAAGGCCGAGAAGTCTGACAGTGTCCAGCTACTCACCGTCAAAAAAGATGAAGGCGAAGCTGCCGGAGGATCGGATGGGGCTGGTGACCACCCGGAGCCCAGCCGGGAGACCGGAGAAGCAACACCGAAGGACAGCGAACTGAGACAGTCCACGGAGAAGCCTGAAGAGACTCTCAAACACGAGCAGAGCAGCCCGGAAATTCCTCTTCCGGCTGAGTCTGGTCCAGCAGCTGGGGAGGGCAAAGAGGAAGGAGAAGAGAAACGAGAAACAGAACCCACCAAATCTCCAGAGTCCCCGACCAGCCCGGTGGCCAGTGAAACAGCATCCCCCTTCAAGAAATTCTTCACTCAAGGGTGGGCTGGCTGGCGAAAAAAGACGAGTTTCAGGAAGCCTAAGGAGGAGGAGCTGGAAGCGTCAGAGAAGAAGAAGGAACAAGAGGCAGAAAAAGTAGACACAGAAGAGAATGGGAAGACAGAAGATGCTTCGGAGAAACTGGCTACTTCTGAACAACCCCACCTGCAGGAGCCCACAGAGGGCCCTAAAGACGCCGGATTGTTAACTGACTATGAAAAAGCGGCGGTGCCATCTGGCGATCAAGTGCAGGGACCTCCTGAAGAGAAAACTGCCCCTTTAGCCACAGAAATCTTTGATGAGAAAGTAGAGATTGTTGCAGAAGTCCATGTGAGCACTACAGAGAAGAAAACAGAGGAGCAGACAGCTGAGGCCGAGGAAAGAGGAGAGTCTTTGCCGCCTGAGAAATTGGTGGAAGCAGATGTGGAACTTGAGGCAGCTGAACCTGCTGAGGATCTGAAGGCCGAGGACGCGTGTGCCCCCGGAGGGGAACAGACCAAGCCCAGCGAACTAAGTCTTCATGAAAAACCAGTGTCTACACAGCCCGAAGGCGTTGTAAGCGAGGCGGAAATGCTGTCGTCACAAGAGAGAATAAAGGTGCAAGGAAGTCCTCTAAAGAAACTGTTTACCAGCACTGGCTTAAAAAAGCTTTCTGGAAAGAAACAGAAAGGGAAAAGAGAAGATGAAGAGTCAGGGGAACACCCAGGTTCAGCAGACTCTCCAGATAGTACAGACGAGCAGAAGGGCGAGAGCTCTGCCTCGTCCCCTGAAGAGCCCGAGGAGATCACGTGTCTGGAGAAGGGCGTCGCCGATGTCCACCAGGATGCCGACGTCGAAGAAGGAACGACTTCGGACGGAGAAAAAAAGAGAGAGGGTGTTACTCCCTGGGCATCCTTCAAAAAGATGGTGACGCCCAAGAAACGTGTGCGGAGGCTTTCTGAAAGTGATAAAGAGGAGGAACTGGAGAAGATGAAGAGTGCCACCTTGTCGTCCACTGAGAGTGCCGCCTCGGAGATGCAGGAGGAAGGCAAAGGCAACGGAGAGGAGCAGAAGCCCGAAGAACCAAAGCGCAAGGTGGACACGTCGGTGTCCTGGGAAGCTCTAATTTGTGTGGGATCTTCCAAGAAAAGAGCAAGAAAAGCATCCTCTTCCGACGAGGAAGGAGGACCAAAAACAGTGGGAGGAGACAGCCAAAAGCCAGAAGAAACAGGAGCAGACACTGTGCCTGCTGGTTCCCAGGAACACGATCAAGGGCCAGGAAGCTCCTCGCCTGAGCAGCCTGGGAGCCCCTCCGAAGGGGAGGGCGTTTCCACCTGGGAGTCATTTAAGAGATTAGTCACCTCCAGGAAAAAACCGAAGGCGAAACTGGAAGAGAGAAGTGAAGACTCTGGAACTGGGTCTGGTCTAGAACATTCCGCCTCGGATGTTGAACCCGGAAAAGAAGAGTCTTGGGTTTCCATTAAGAAGTTTATTCCTGGACGAAGGAAGAAAAGGGCAGATGGGAAGCAAGAACAAGCCACGACTGAAGATATGGGGCCAGCCGAGGTCAACGAAGATGATTCTGATGTCCCGGCTGTGGTACCTCTGTCTGAGTACGATGCAGTCGAAAGGGAAAAAATTGAAGCTCAGCAAGCCCAAAAAGAGGAGGCGCCTGAGCCAAAGGCGGCTGTTCATGTGTCTGAGGAGCTCAGTAAGAGTCTGGTTCAAGCGGTGACCGTGGCTGTCGTCGACGGGACAAGGGCCGTCACCAGTATTGAGGAAAGGTCGCCTTCTTGGATATCTGCCTCTGTGACAGAACCTCTTGAACAAGCCGAAGATGATGCTGAAGCGCAAACTGGGGAGGTATTTGAAAGAGAAGTCATTGCCGAGGAAGCACCCATTGTTCCCAAAACTCTGCCTGAGGGCCAAGATGCCAGTGAGGTGGAGTTCACTTCTGAAGCTGTGACAGCTACCGAGGCATTTTGTGCTGAAGAAACAACAGAAGCTTCTGGTGCCGAAGAGACCACGGACATGGTCTCGGCTGTTTCCCAGTTAACTGAGTCTCCAGACACCACAGAGGAAGCGACACCAGTTCAGGAGGTGGAAGGCGGCATGCCAGACGCAGAAGACCAAGAGAGGCGAACTCAGGAGGTCCTGCAAGCCGTCGCAGAAAAAGTGAGAGAAGAATCTCAGCTGCCTGACGCCCGAAGGCCAGAAGACACCATGGAGACGACGCAGAGGGAAGAGTCAAAAACACCAGAGAAGGTGGAAGAAGCACAAGATTCTCAGGCAGTAGAAGTGAAGAAAGAGATGGACGTAGTGTTGAAAGAACACCTACAAGAAACTAAAACTGAGACTTTGATGCAAGATAAGGAGATTGCACAGCCCATCCAAGAAAGCTTGGAAAAAGTTCCTCAAGTCACGGGGAGTGTCGAGTCCAGTGAGCTCGTAACCACGTGTCAAGCTGAAACCTTGGTTGGGGTAAAATCAGAGATTATATCAGAACAGGCTGTTGCTCCAGACTCAGCTGAAACCCTTACAGACAGTGAGACCAATGGAAGCACCCCAGTGGCAGATTTTGAAGCTCTAAGTGTAACACAGCAAGACAAGGTCATGGAAATCCATGAAGATAAGGAGGTGGCATCTGGTACACAATCACAGGTCGGAGAAGATGAGGCAGTTCCTGAACCGAAAGAGATATCTCCAGTACCTTCTACTTTTCAGCCCCAGGAAGAAAATAAAGAACATTCAAAAATGGAAGACGTTCTAGAACACACGGATGAAGAGCTATCAGCAGAAACTGTACCCGTTCTTTCAAAGACTGAGGTGATTCAAGAGGCTGCCCGAGGTGCTGATGAGGAAACCAAAGACGTCCCATTTGTCGAAGGACTTGAGGTGTCTACAGACACGGAAATAACAACCAGTCAGAAAAAGATAACTGACGTTACCCTTAAAGACGAAGTTCCTGAAGAAGCTGAGTTGCAAAAGAAGGATGATATTGAAATCCAGAGTCAAGCTGAGTCTCTTCCAACCCCAGTAGAGAGTGAGATGGTCGTTCAAGAAGAAAAGGAGAAAATGGAAGCAAAGCCAACCCAAATGAGTGAAGAGAAACTTGAGCAAAAACCAGCTGTTCCCATGTCTGAAATGCTCAGTGAGCAACTAGTTCAGACAGTTCAGGTGACCGTCATAGATGGGGAAAAGGAAGTTGTCAGTTTTGAAGAAAGTTCGTCTTTGCTAGTTCAAGAGGAGGTGGCATGCACAGAAATTCAAGTTCAGAGCTCTGAGGCACCGTTAGCTCTAACAGTGGCAGCAGTGGAGGAGAAGGTCTTAGGAGAAACCGTCAAGATTTTAGCACAGGCTGAAACTTTGGAATCTGCAGACGCACATTTAGTACCAGAAGAAAAATCCTCTGAGAAAGATGAAGACTTGAGTGCTCAGCCGGGGGACGAGGCAGCACCCACAGGAACTGAGACTCAGGCAGAATCTACACCGGAAGTAATATCTGCCACCCCCGAGAGAGGCATCCATGCTGACCTGGAAGAAGATAAAACCACGTCGCAGAAACAGAAGCTCGATGAAGATGGTGAGCAGGTTGTCTGTCTGGAAGTCAGAAAGGTGGAAACAAGAGAGGCAGATTTAAAGGCTGAAAATGAGATTTCGAAACTTGAGACTGAGAGCGGTAAACTGGTGCAAAATGTAATTCAGACGGTCGTTGACCAGTTAGCCAGTGCAGAAGCAGCCGCCTCTGACTTCCAGACACAGGCTCAACCCGTAATAGCTGACAGCCAGGAAGCTGGGCAGAAAATTGAGGAAGGAGAGAGGGAACTTCAGGCCTCTGTGCAGGAGGAAACACCTACCATGGCAGCCGAAGAGGAGTCTGTGCTCACCACTGTGGAGCACACACATTCAGATGTTTCCACAGATGGGAAGGACGCTTTGGAAGAGACCACGACCTTTGAAGTAGAAAGCTCCAGGGTAAATGACCAGCAGCTTGAAGAGGTAACTGTCCCATCAGAGGGAGACAGAGAAGCAACTGGAACAAAGTCTGTGCCGGAAGAAGATGATGGTGCCGGGTTAGGAGAAAGAACAGAGAAGTCACTGCTTGAATCCCAGGAAGATGGAAAGGATGGCGCTGTTGATTACCCTGAGGACCAGAACGCGGCCCTGGAAGATGCTGAGGCCTCAGGAGGCTTAACCAGAGAGTCCTCGGATGCAAATGGACCAAAACTAAAAGAGAAGGAAGCTGGCCGGGAAGGAGAATTTCAGGAAGGAAAAGTGCACAGCGATTCAGAAAAAGAGAGCAAAACACAAACACAGGAGGAAACACAGAAACAAGAGAGAGAACCAGCAAAATCAGAACTTACAGAATCCTAAAACATCATGTAAGTAAGCTTCCAGGTCTTCTAAAAGTATTTTTCCCTCTTTTATGCCATTTGATGGCCAATTTGTTACAAGGGAAGCAGGAGTTCCAATAATTATGAATTTATGCAAAACCTTCAACTGGGGGAAATAGCCATCAACTAGACTAGGAGTCTAGGTTAGTTTCCCTTTTTTTCCTCATTGAAATGCCATTCAGTCTTCTTGGTGTCATGAAAATAACAACTTCATTTTACCGCCAATGTGACTGCTTTCAAAGAAAATAAAGGGAAATGTGTGTGCACAAGTGTGCGTTTGTGTGTGTGTTTGGCTCAAAGACATAAGCAGTATGTCGTGCTCGCGGAGCACCATACCAAGTTTATTGAATTTTTTATAACTAAAAGTCCAAAGGAAGTTTCAGTCATACTGCTTGAAATTTAGTTTATAGCTCTCTAGAAAAAATGGATTTTTTCCAGCAGTAGTAACAAGCATTTAAAAAATTTTCCAGTGCCTGGGACCAGCCTAACTGTGGGTGTGGGGCAACCACAGCCCTCAGCTCTGTGGCCAGGCAGCATGATGTTTTCCGGACCCCCACCAGCTTGCTTTCTTACGGAATTAAATTATGCTCTTAACGGTTTCCAGTTACTGCAGCTCACTTTCTCAACTATTCTGTTAACTAAATGAGGAAGGGAAGGGAGATTTTATTTACTTTTGATTCTTGCTTCTTTTTATAGGTACATGGTGTATTTGCAAGACCAGAATGTGAAGACAAGTAGTAGAAGAAAAAGGAATGCTGCTGAGAAGACTGAAGACCGTGAGATTTCAGAACTCGGAGACCCGAAGAGCAGGCACGTCAGCTGATCTCGTGTCTCGAACCCCCGACAATCCTGAGGCTGCATCAGGAGCGAGAGCCATTTAGCATTTCCTCTTTTCAAGACCACCCTGTTAATGTCCCTTGATACAATATAATGTTTCTGATTTAACATCCTAAATTCTTAACCTGGAACTGGACGTGGCAACACCTGGTCCTACTTCGCAAACTGGAGCATCATTCTTTATGTATTTATATGTATGTTTTAAGTACTCCTCCTTCTGTATCTATTGTATATTTTTTCTGAATGTTTCAGGCAGTGTGCAGTGTAGTATACATTTCCTTTGTATCACACACTATATGATGGGGCGTGCCGCCATGGGGAAGCCTTAAGCCTCAGTTATACCCTGTGAAAACAGAGCTTCCTAGAAACAACATTCCTGACCAGAAGCTACAATTCTTATTTTAAAAATTCACTAAGGACTAGGTCCATGTTTAGTATTACTCTGAAATTGGTCACTTTCTATTATGCACAGTGTGCTAAAAATAAAAAGCTTTTTTTTTTTTTTGAAACACACAGAATGTTCCATTGTTACTGTGAAATTTTCCTTTCTAGCCCAGTGGAGGTTGGAAGGAAGCTTTTTCCAGTAATGGATTAACTTTAAGTCTTTTCTCCTACTGTCATGGTTGTTGGGACAGGTGAGTGTGCTTAGTCCTGAGGCCGAGCGGTGAAATGTTTCTCATGTTATCAAAAGAATTGACTGTTTTAAGTTTTTGATTCTACTCTCACATGCTGGACCCCGTTCACGCACAGCATAAAAGAAGTCAGGCTCTTCACAGATGGTATTTTGCTAGATGCTGGATTGTCTGTGCCATATTTGTGCCCACTCTTCTAAGAACAATGTTGCAGTCTGTTCATTTGGATAAATTGTGATTTGACAACTGATTTAAATAAAATATTTGCTTCATTTAGATTTGCTGGTTTTATTAGATATGAGGAAGCCTGGGGATGTATGTTTACTGCAATCTAAAAGCAGATAAGCTAGAACTTTCCAATGTAGTCGCTAGATGATGTCACCACTTCACACCACATTGAGCTGATGTTCAGAGGAAGTCATGGCAGAGGCAGCTGCTGAAATTAACCAGAGCTTCTCAGAGTGACAGCACTGATGCAATGCTACCATCTGGTGGCATCTTTTCTGAAAAGGTCAATTTTCTGTGTTAATATTTGTTAATGACAAATGTCTCTAGAAAGAAATTTTAAGAAGGCTTCATAGTAAAAATGCCTTGCCTTACAGATGATCTTGGCAGATTTTTTAAATGTCCAAATGATTTATGATTCATGCTAATATAGAAAGGATTCTGTCAGACAATTGCCACACAAAGAGCAGTCACCTGAAGTTCCACTTTTTTGCATGTGGAACTAGCCTGGCATATATGCTGCTTTAATTTTACTCAAATTTTGATGGCCCATTAACGATTTTAAAGCATAACATTCTGGAAAGACTAGAATAGTCTTTTAACAGAAAGAAGATTTGCTGTTAAAACTGGAAAATAATTTCTCTTACACCAACAAACGCAACTACAATAAAAAAAAATTGGCCATATTAGAAAGACATCTCGTGAGGCTGCCCTGGTGGCACAGTGGTTAAGTGCGCACGTTCCGCTTCGGTGGGCCGGTGTTTGCCAGTTCAGATCCTAGGTGCGGACATGGCACTGCTTGGCAAGCCGTGCTGTGGCAGGCGTCCCACATATAAAAAGTGGAGGAAGATGGGCACAGATGTTAGCTCCGGGCCAGTCTTCCTCAGCAAAAAGGAGGATTGGTAGCAGATGTGAGCTGAGGGCTAATCTTCCTCAAAACAAAACAAACATCTCGTGATCACAGTGTATGGCCTTGTGGTTGGAAAACATGTAATATCATTTTAGGAGTTATTCATATATATAAACTAGCCACCTGTGCTTAATGATTAAAATTTTTTAAACTCCAAATTAAAAAACCTCTTTGATCTAAATATCTTTCTTTAGCCAACTTTGAACTTAAAAAAAGATCCACGTGCTGGTGTCAGTTTTTGAAGATTGACTAAAAGGTGTTGGAGATGACAGCAATTTGTTAAGGAGTTTATGGTAGTTTCAAATGTTGACTGACTTCCTCTCTATGGTAGGAAGAAACTGTGCTATTTTGAACAGATTGAAGATTTGGGTAGTTTTGTGTTTTGGGTTTTTTTTGGTTTCAATTCCATCCTGCCACTTCACCCCATCCATATTTGGCCTTCTCATACCATGTGTGGCCAGGTCATTCTGGCCATCACGGCTGGTTTTCTGGTGGTAGTTGCTTCACGACTGTGCTTTTCGGTACCAATATCCGGATCTGCCCTGGAGTCCTGCTGTGCAAACTCTATTCCTATGTCCGTTAAGCAACACTGTTTTATTAGCAAGAGCAATGCTATTAACAGTAGCTGAAAGACAATTCTGTGTTATAGTTCTAAAGCTGCTGTTAATTTATGAAGTATGTAATAATCCAATGTATACTGCCGAAGTTGGAGCAAGTGCCTCAATTTTGCTGTTTTCAGCATTTCTATGGAGCCATGTACAATAGAACACAATGCAAGACTTGTAAACTCTCGCCACTTCTTGTAATTGAGGAATATAACATGTTTGCCTCCGGGTCGTTTTGCTGACGGTACACGTGAGTTGCCTCTCTGTCCACAGATGCTTTGTTCCGATATTTTCCCTCCATGTTCGGAGCTACAGATAGGCAAGGGCTGGAAATTCTGGCTTTAGGTGTAAGCTTCAAGTTTAGCAATTTCCTTGAATCTGAGACAATATTAGGTTACTAGTTCTGTTTGGGAGCAAATTTTCATTTATCTAAATAAATGCAACCTAGTTAAATGCCATGGATTTCCTTTACGTAATTTCACCAGTTTTGACTCCTTTTCTCTTGACTCTTGTGGTATTCATGACACGTTCAACTTCTACTTAAAACTGCTTAGCCATCTTTTGTGACGCTGTCCACAGAGCATTGTGGGAGTTTGGAATGTATCCGGGATACGTGTGAAAGCAGAAAAATCTCTGTCGGTGATTCTTAACCTTTTTGGGTCTGGGCCCCTTTGACTAGAATCTCATTAAGCGTCTGTCCAACCTCCAGCTCCCAAAAGTGAACACAGTTTTGTGTACAGTTGTTGGATAATTGCACAGACCTTCTCTGAAATCCCAACCAATAATCAGGACCAGAGTTAGAGACCCCTTATCTAACTCCGCAAGAAGGAAATGGATACGGTCCAAGGATTCCCAGGCACTAAGAGGTTGGAACCTCAACACAACCAATGTCACGGAACCTCAAGTCTACACGACTATTCATTTTGATTGTGATTCTGAAAACGGATCTGCTGGGCAGCGTGGCACAATTCTTGTGCAAATGCAAGTTTCAACTCCACCAAATTCCTTACCATCTCCAGCCCGTATCACCGCAAGTAGGAAAATGACCCAGGGTCTACTTTTTTACATGAGGAAGTTGAGATTTAGATCACCGGCTTTTAAGTGATAGCAGGTTTTGGCTCAGGTGACCAGGACTTGGTGGTGAAGATAATTATGACTTTTTTTAGAGTGGCGTACAGTTCGGAACGAGGTATTCTCGTAACTTTGCGTGTTCTTCCATTGCTTGTTGACATTAAAAATGTTGACACGAGAAGTATTTACCTAACCTCTTCAGAGAAGCTTTGCGATAACACTCATGTTTGGAGACGAGGTAGAATGTCACTTCCTAAATGAAAAAGGTAGGACCCAGTGTAGCATTCTCCCACAGCAGGATGTTGAGTGCTAAAGCCCAGCTTTAACTCAAGCCCATGCTTTTCCTTCTATTTGTTCAAATTATCTCAAACAACTTGGTATAATCAAGGAGCACAGAGCCAATGCTATAAATTAGGCTAATTTAAAACCCACGTTGTGCTTGATCCTACTTATTCCTGGTCGCCTCAGGAGCTCACCTAATTCCGGGAAAAGCAGGTGGGGTTGCCTCTAGAACTTGAAACAGAACACAATTAGGCTTCTTTCTAAAGAGTTTACAGAAATGATACTGCAGAGTTGGCCAGTGAGCCATTTTAAGGAGTGCGGTTTATCTTACGAAGTCATTAAAATAGTCGAGCAGGGAAGTGATGCTCTCCTTCTGTGTTAGTGATCCCCAAGGCAGTCTTGGGGGTTATGACTCTGTCCCACCCTTCTCCCTTGTAGCTTTTTGTGATCACTATAGCCAGGGTGTTACTGGAACTTAATGAGTTGGGGCCCCAGATGCTTAAGATCCCACAAAGTTTAGGCTAGCCCTTTTTAAGAAAGGAGTTTCTACCTCAAATGCCAGTGGTTTTAGACAGTTGCTTCTGGCTTCTAGAGAATTAAAGGCTGGAGGTTGGGAGGGACTAGCTAACGTTATAATAACCCAGGCAAGAGCTGATAATGGTCTCTAATAAAGTAGTGGCTGTTTGGCTGGAAAGATGTGGGTGAGATCAAGAGATATTAGGAGGTAGAATTAACAAGTTGCGATACCCAATTGTCTGTCATGGGAACAGGGTTGGGTGAAGAATGAAGTTTCTGGATTGCCAACCTGGGTATGGAGCCACATCCTGACATGGATGGGGCGGAAGAGTAATACTAGTTTTGAAAATGTTGTGAGACCTATGAGGTCTACAGGGGTAAATGCAGAATTGTCAGCTGGATATATGGGTCTTCTAAACAGGACAAAGAGGCAGCAGTGGGTCTCTGGTCCTCTCTGTGTCCTTGGAGACGCGGAGGGAAAAATAACCTACACAAGTCTGTGCAACATTTCCTAAGATCTCATGCACAAACTTTGGTGACTAAGAAAGCTGAGGCTGTTGGGGCCACTCACCCTGTCACAGCAGTTTCCTCATTTCTGAATGCATAACTAACTACCCAAGATTTCCCTCTTGTGAAAATGCTTTATAACCTAGAAAGCAAAATGCCCCCATAATGCGTGACCATTAGGAATTAGAAGAGAGGGAGAGACTTTAATAAAACTGGTCACCAGCCGCAATGTTGCGACTGCTGATGGCTGCTGTGTCCTTGGATATTTTGGTAGATCCAGAAGAATGATACTGGTCTTCCTGAAATATCATAAATATACAACTTATTTAGACATGCTCTTTTTTAAGGATGAAACATCCACTTTGTGTCGTGTGCCTTTCTTTTCTTTCCTCCTCTTCCTGTGGCCTTTTCATCATTTATGGCCTGCTGGCACGTCTCCCCAGGGAGACTTGAAGGGGGTGGGGGTGCAACATGGGGTGGGGGACTCTGGTTGGGAGGAAGCCAAACCTGCAGTCTCTTCAGGGTCCTTCCCAGGGTTGCCCTGGCCATGTATCGGTTCTCTCTGGCTGGCTGCCGTGTGACCTTTGTCTGCTGACAGGCATCTCTACCTAACTGGAAAGATAAAAGAATTCTTTAGTCCATTTTCTTTTGCTAACAAAAAATTTATAGAAACAAATTTAAACAACTAATGGCTAGGAAAGGTTTCCTCGGCAGTGTCCTGATAGCTGAAAGGGCCCCGAATCGGCAGACCTGGGCTCTGTAATTAACGGGATGTCGTTGGATGATCTTGGCCAATTCCCTGACGCCATTTTGTTTCCTCATCTGGATCCTTGCCTCTCATACAGTAGAAGGGTCGTCTAGGTGGCTTCCTCAAAAGCTCCTTAGGGCATTTTGTTACTTTGGCTACATTCTTTTCTGAGCTTGCACATTACAAAGGCCATTAGATGAGAACAGAGAGGACTGGAATAAATCCCGGGGCCCCTCAAACACGCACTTCTTCCAAGGGCTCCTGCGCTAGTTCCTCTGCACTGTCTCATTCTTTGCTTCAAAGAAAGTATCCTGGAAGTGGCACAGATTGCTTTCTGGCCCTTTATTAGCTCCCCTGGCTATTTTAATTCTGAGAAGAAAGCAGACCCAAGAAAGGACAGCAATACTATAGCAGAAATTACACAGTAGTGCTGTGGTTCTGAAAATGCGGCTACTGGCAGCAGCAGCAGCAGCAGCAGCGTTTGGGAACCCAGTTGAAATGCAGATTATTGGGCCCCACCCGGGACCAAGTGAGTCAGACCCTTGGGGGGCGGGCCTGCCATCTGTTTTATCAAGCCATCCAGGAGATGCTGATGTGCTGAAGTTTTAAGACCACTGTAGTAATATACAAAACGGATTGAAGTTAATTGCCACAACAGCAAAACAAACAGGTTAACAGGTGAAAAAGCTTTACCCTTCCAGTTGTTTCTAGCTCATAGAAATGTTTGCTCATTTGGGAAAACATCATTTGAGCCACATAGGGGTTTGAATCCTGGCTGTCTCTCTTTGGCTGGGTAACCTAAGAAAAGTTATGTCTCTGGGCCTCAGTTTCCCCATCTGTAAAAACAGGACACGTGTCTGACAGGAGTGTCAGGAAGAGTAAAGATAAGCACGTAGCATGTGGACACCCAATACAGGGTCTCCCCGTTTCCCCATGCAGCCCTTCAGGTGACAATGCGTTCTTCACAAGGAGCCATCGTCACAGCAACCAGGGACTTCAAGCAGGGCTGCTTCTGTCCATTTTCCAGAAAACAGCACAAGCTTGAGTTAAGAATTTAGTAACCATCCTTTGTGTCCAAAAATATTTTGATTTGCCTGAAGAGATTGAAAGCACCAGAATATCATTTCCTCCTGGTCCATTTTTTTTACACTAAAGATTCTCAGGCTAATTTTTATTTTATTGAGAGAGCTGTTAACAGCTTACTCGCTATTCTTCTGATTGTTTAAGAAGTGAGTTCTAGAAAAGGCAGCTTAATTGATTGTATCTTGAGATAATTAATTTTTTATTTGCTTAAAGATTTCTAAGCCTAAATCTTGCTTACCTGCAAATGATGTTTAGCAATAATTTGTTCTAGACCAACATGGAAGACTAAAACAAAGCAAAATGCAATTTAGCTATTTTGAGGGTTCTGAAAATTGTCATAAAAATGCAAAGTCAACCTGAAGAACAAGTCACATTCTATTACAATTAACTACATGCCCCATACAAATAATTTCTCTTAGAATTCATTCCTAGTGACTTAGTGACAAGGGTTCCCCCTCTCCCATCATTATGGGAGGTACCATGCACCTACCATCCTCTCCAACCAGCCTTCTAAGTGCCTAATCTTTTTGAACACTGCCATTCGGTGTTTTACCTGAAATGTGTGAATGAAGTCCATTTTGAACGGAAGGGTTCATTTTGAATGCCTCAGCTCTCCCTTTCTTGTCGGGTGAAATTACAAAAAACAGTAGTGGCTAGTTCCTATAATCTTAACAAGGAGAAGGTTTGGGGTCCACTCTATTCTCCATTCTTACAGCACTATCCAAAGCTACCTTGTTTATTTTCAGCTTTATTGAAGAATAATTGACAAATATGTTTTAATGGAATGCGTTCTCCCCATGAAAACCGTATTTCCTACGGCAAAATAAAATCCTACAGTACTTTACAAATCTACTTTTTAAGCCACATCTGTTGAATGATGGAGAGCTGCTGCTCTCTGTTGTTGTCCTTCTACTTATCTCCTCTGCTCTTGGTTTTGTAGCCCCTTTCCTTTTTTTGATTTTTCAGGAATGAGGGTTTTCCTGAGCATTTCTTGAAGAGGAGGTTTGGTGGCAATGAACTCCCTTAATTTTCGTTTATCTGGGAAAGTTTTTATTTCTCCATCATATCTGAAGGATATTTTCGCTGGGTAGAGAATTCTCGGCTGCAGATTTTTGTCCTTCAGATTATTGAATATATCATTCCACTCTCTTCTAGCCTGTAAAGTTTCTGCTGAGAAATCTGCTGAAAGCCTGATGGGGGTTCCTTTGTAGGTTAATTTCTTCTGCCTGGCTGCCCTTAGTACTCTCTCCTTGTCGTTGACTTTTGCTAGCTTCACTACTATATGTCTTGGGGTTGGTCTATTTGCATTGATAAAGTTTGGAGATCTATTGGCTTCTGTCACATGAAGTTCCATCTCTCTCCCCAGGTTTGGGAAGTTCTCAGCCATTATTTCTTTGAATAGGCTTCCTGCCCCCTTCTCCCTCTGGTATACCTATAATCGTTAGGTTGCATCTCCTAATTGCGTCAGATAATTCTCGGAGAGTTTCTTCATTTCTTTTTAGTCTTAGCTCTCTCTCCTCCTCTGCCTGCAGCATTTCTATATTCCTATTTTCCAAATTGCTAATTCTTTCCTCCATATTATCGGCCCTACTGTTCAGTACATCTAGATTTTTCTTAATCTCCTCTATTGTGTTCTTCATTTCCAGTATTTCTGTTTGGTTCTTCTTTATCGTATCAAACTCTTTTGTGACATAGCTCCTGAACTCGTTGAGTTGTCTATCTGAATTCTCTTTTAACTCATTGAATTTTTTAATGATGGCTGTTTTGAAGTCATCATCATTTAGGTTGTATATTTCATTGTCTTTGGGATTGTTTTCTGTGTGTTTGTCATTTTCCTTCTGTTCTGGAGATTTAATATATTTTTTCATATTGCTTGATGGTGTAGATTTGTGCCACCGCATAGAGATAGAGTTTAGTTACTGCTTCCACTTGTTTCTACTGGTGTGGTGGGGGGACAGCTGTTTATACTGCTCCAACCAGGAACCCTATCAGCTGTTGCTAACAGGGCCTGGGCACCTCCTCGCAGTCAGTGATCCTGTGGGTTCCCTCTTCAGCTGTGGAGGCCGTCACAGGGGGACTTTGGACTGCTGGTGCCTACTGTTGCAGACCACCTAGACGTGCTCCCTCCTTGGGGTCTGCAGCGGTGTTATGGGCTTTCCCAGCAGCCAGGGGCAGGATCACTTATATTTGTAGGTCTGTCACTGTTGGCGCCCACAAAATCTCCCTTGTCCACTATGGGTCACAGCAGAGCTATGGGCATTTTCTACAGTCTGTGGTTAGCTCGCCTAGCTATGCTACTTTTGTCCCAGGGTCTTCCAGCCTTGTGGTTGCCGGATGGGTGCTCTCTACTAGTGCTGTGCGGAGGCAATCGCTGAGGCTTCTGTGAGACTGCAGAGTTTCCCCCTGGGCCACAGAGCCAGGTCGCTGGAACTCCACCCAGCCCCAGTCCTCTCCCCTAGGATCTCAGGGAGCCCATTGCCCCGTCTGGAGGATAGCCGGATACCTTGAGTTCAGTGGCAGCTGGTCGGCTGCTGCCCTGCCTGGGATTCTCCTCTTTGGGACCCTCCCAGCATTGTGGATGCTGGGCGGAGCCTCTCCGATAATGGCCGGTAAAGACTCTGCCTGCTGCCGGGACGGAACTCTAGAGTTTCTCCCCGGGGCTGCGTAGCCAGCCACTGGAGCTCCACCCAGCCCCGGTCCTCTCCCAGGAGATTTCCCGTAGTCCCGAGCTCCTCCCCAGCGAAATCCCAGTCAGTGGAGCCTGCCGCAGCAGCTGGCGGGCCGACGCGCCATTTGGGATTCTCTCCGGGAGCCCCCAGGCGTTGTGGATGCTGGGCGGGAACCTCTCCGCTAATGGTGGGTAGGGGTTTTCCCCACGGCCTCCGGTGTGAAACTCTGGACTTCCCTCTGGGCTCAGGTGTAATTGTGGGGGGCTTAGGTAGGGCTCTGTTCACCTGTTTCCACCGTCGCTCCTCTGGTGTGTGCTCCCTCCTGCCCTTGGTGTGCAGCGATGTTCTGGGGGCATCTGCTGGAAGAAAGCCGCCCGCAGGCTCTAGGCTGTTCGGGGGTCGGGGTCGGAGAGTTTTCACCTATCTCCACCTCCTCCTGGAGGGAAGTCCGTCTGCCTTCCAATGTATAGCAGTGTGGGTCTCTCCGACGTCCTGAGATGCTATATAGATATCCTTTGTCAAGCCATGAATGTCCAATTAGTTGTAGATTTGAAGGGGGAGAGACAAAGAAGTCTGCTCACGCCGCCATCTTGGATCTTCTCCCCCACATCTGTTGAATGAGTGACTCATTTTTTGTTTTCCCTATGAAAGGAAAAGTAATAGAACCAGCGGTGTTAATAGGGGCTAGAACGTGGAGAATGATCCCTCAAATTAATTCTGAAGCTTACGTCTTCAGGTTGCTCATGCCATCAGCTGAAATTTCCAAAGCTTATTGAAACTGGTACCATCAAAAACTCAGAATAAACTTAAATTTATAACCTCTTGGGATTACGTAGGCATGGAGCATTCCAGGGTAGGGTGGGTGGGCTTCCCTGTGTGTCCCCAGCTCTTCATTTTGGGAGGGAACTGGCCTTGTTGGGGTCTGTCACAGTGGAGGCGGTGGCCATAAGCTGGTGCTAAGACCCCTGCACCCCACATAAAATGAGGAGGTGAACACGTCAGCCCCTCCTCCTCCACCAAGTTGTGGGAGCTCACCTCTCTCCCCTCCTCAACCAAGGACCTGTGATTCCCAGGACTTTCTGGTCTTCAGAACCATTTGGCTGCACCTCCTGTCCCTTCAAGGTTGCCTGGGGGTGATGAGAAAGGCTATGTAGGATCACCCGGATTTCCCCTTTCACAGATATTCAGAGAAGTTAACTTGGCACAAGACTCTCATTTAAGTTGGGAGGTGTGAATATAGTTTAAAAAGCAAAAGATGAAACCAGTGGAAACCTCTCAATATTTAATAATCTAGGTTCATATAGCATGAATGTGTGTCATCTTTGGGCAAACACCTCTTGGCCTCTTTCCCTTCTTGTAAAAGAAAGTTGGATAAGACCTTCTCTAGACCCATTCCTGGTCAAACTCAGACTGTAGCATCTTCATATGGAGTTTACTCATTTGATTCTCACCATCTTATGCCCCAATGCAGTTATCAAGGTCTTCATTTTGAAAAGGTGGAAAATGCCACTCAGGGGAATTGCCCAAAGTTCTGCAGACAGAAAGAGGAGATCCAGTGAGAAAGTGACGCCTTGGTGATGCTTTCTACTTCCCCTTCCTGCATCTTTTTGGGTAGACCAAGTAATACACAGACAAAATCATATTCCCATTTAATTAAATGTTTATTCAATGAAAGTATGTATAAAAACTTACAAATCTGAGAACTCAACTATACATGAAATAGGATGACGGGATATTCAGTTTTTAACATAGACGTACAGCACAGCTATGAACTGTTTCCCCTTCCCCTTCGGTCCTTATTTCTGGCTCCTGTTTTGTCCTGTGAGACCACTCTGTTATTGGCCCAAGCGAAGATTAATGGACAAATTTTACTGCTTTCAGGCCAATGGAAAAAATTCCAGGTGTTTAAAAAAAAAAAAATTTGGAGACCAAACATCAAAATCAAGTTTTTTCCCCAAGAGCAGTTAGTTCTTTTGTCCTGATTTCTGTTTGCCATTTTTGATGTTTCAGTGAACGTTGCCAGTAAACTATTAGCATGAACTTTTAAAGACATTAAAGTTACTACATCTTCTGCTCACAACCTCCCCTTTAAGATACACATCCTGGTACCCTTCTTCCTGCAGTATGAACTCCGAATAAAGAGCAGATGGTTGGTGCTAAAACAAGTTTACCATTGGCAACTGCGAGAATGGGCTGTCCTTTTCTAATCAGAAAGACAACGTATAGAATAGTACCTTCAAATCTGATGTTTAAAACAACCAACAAATTTGTCAGAAACTAAAATACAGTACTTTGTCGTTGTTCAACTTTGAAAGAAGCCAGCAACTGGATAAGGCATGTGCATTAGTCCACCTGTTTACACCAAGTACCCACACATTTTCTCTTACAATCACACAAACTCACAGCTTGTCATGTTTTATCCAAAAATTAAGATTGCCATCACATTATTACTTTTTCTCTTTTGTGTTTTGTTCAAGTAGATTTCTTAACTAATGATTTTTCTTGACTGGACATAATCTCAAGGATGCATTCTGAAATAAGACGCCTGGAGGATGAATCCTAAGAACGTTTTCTTGGGTTTAAAGTTTTCCCACACCTTCTAGATTTTGCATAGTTCAGAGCCCAGCGGTATGTCTAAGAAGCATGCTGTATTTTCGAACATCGTTTTTCTGAGAAGGAAGACTTATTACCCAGGGACACTCATAATTTTAGCTCACCAAATTGCATTCTAGTTGTTTTGTTATATACCCTTCATTAGTTCCAAGTATGCTTTGAAATAATCTAAGCTTCTCAAAATCTATTTGAGTTTATAAGTACTACTGACCATTGTCTTTCCAATATCCCCTGAATTAAAGTAAATATGTTCCAGGTTGATAATGCACAAAACCTTTAGGGAGGAGGGGCTGGGGACGGCGGAAGGGGGCGAGGAGAGAGGGCCCGGGGTCCTGTTCGCATCATGCCATGGAGAACTATAGTTCTGAATTGGGGGAAGGGAAGGAAGATAGTCTTTGTAAAAATGACAGTTTTTAAAAAGGTAAGTAACATTCAGTCTAACAACACTGTTTCCTGTTCCTTTTTGATGGAAGCTAACACTGGGTGGTCAGTTTCCGTTACTTCCGAGTCCCCACCGCCCAGGAGAATGGAACGCCCTTCGTCTAGGGCAAAAACGTCCGAGTTCTGGTTTTGGCATGAATGTTTAACAACCTCATTGGGGGTGGAGAACGTTTTGTCACACAAGTTGCATTTGTAGGGTTTGTTGGTTTGGACCAACATGTTGTCCATCTGGCTGCCCTCCTCAAAGGTGCAGAGCTCCAGAGTCTGTTTGTCCACCATGGTGTACGTGTCGATGCTCTGGTTGAGGCACACGTGCCGGGCAGCCTGGTTGGCCCTGCAAAAGCTCTTGTCACAAGTGCTGCACTTGAAAGGCTTCCCCGTGTGGATGTACATGTGCTCCCGCCAGTGGCTTTTCTGGATGAACTTGCGTCCGCATATCGTGCACTCGTACTTCCGCCGCTTTACCTCCCTCTCTTGGTCCGCCTGCTCCAGGTTGTCAATGTCCGCGATGTCAGAGGGTGGCGGCGTCTCCGAGTGCTGCTGTCCGTCGATGACTGGAGAGTCTGAGATGTGCTGCAGCTCACTGTCACTTATCATCCCAGCTTCAGGCACTTCCATGGCGTCTTTTCCCAGGTCAGCTGCATTGCTACAAAGAGACAGGGGCACACGGCTCTCTCCCGCTTGGCTTGATGTAAAAGGCACCCCCGTGTGGATCTGGAGGTGTTCCCGCAAGCTGCTCCGGAGGGTAAAGCGCCGCCCACACAGGTGGCAGGCGTAGTACTTTGGAAAGCTGCCGTTCCTCTTCATGATGCTGGGCTTGACGTGGGCTATGGTGAGGGATGCAGGCTGTTCATCAGAGGAAGAAGCTTCCAGGTTGGTCTCCTCCCCAGGAGGAGGGGGAGGAACGGGAGTGGAAACGAGTTCCGGAGACAGTGAGGTCTGCAGGGGATCCGAGGGGGTCATGTGTGTCCGATTCACCTGGGTCAGATTTGAAGTCAGCTGAGAGAGCTGGGAGGCCTCAGGGACCGGCTCCTGGCTCATCCTCGACGCCTGCGGCCGTGGTTCTCGGGCAAGTTTTTCAGGTGCGGAGGCAATCTTGGTGGCTTGTCTCAACTGATGGTCTGCAATCTGAATGCCATACAAGGAAGAAGCCAGCGGGAAAACTTGGTCAGGATGAGAAAAGGCTCCTTGGCTGGCCAGGCTAGCTTCCTGGATCAGAGGGTAAGCGTGTAGAAACTTGATCCCCTGTTCTAATCGAACAGGATCAATCAGCTGGGGCGCCATCTTTCCAGTGTACATCAAATGTAAGAGATAGCTGAAGATGTCAGGCTGTATGTCAGTTGGTTTCAAACGGACACACTCACTGAAAGAAACAAGGAAAACGTCTGTTAAGTGTCAATCTACGTCTTCAATAACATAAGCCTGAAGAAAAAAACAGCGCTTTTAAAGGCAAATGAAACACGAACATTCCCCATTTCTTACTGTAAGTTTCATGAAATGGAATGGAATACTCAAGACAGATAACTGGAACCTATATAAGTTTAAATTTAATTATATTAAAAACAGGGAGAAATATAATAAATGTGTTTAAAGGACTGAGAAGGAAAAGTTCATGTTAAACAAATGTGATATCTTAACTCATAGACTCTTGAAGCAGTTTTTCTCCTACTAATCTATGTAACATTGTATCATTTATAGAGAACTTCAAGAGTTCTCTACAAAAAATTCTGTGTTTCACAGAGAGGATCCATTGCTTTTCTATCAGTCTGAGAGTGGCCTGTGACCTAGGAATGGTTAGGAATCACCGCCCTGGCAGATCTTTAGCTAAAAGTCTGGGATTCTGTACTGACCCAATCGCGGCAGAGCTGAGCAGATCTTTTAAGGTAAGGCAATCTACCTGATTAGAGAGTTTCCTCACTTGTAAATGACATGAGGGAGCTGGACTAGTAAGAACAGGTGCCTAAGAGCAAGACAATGGAAATGAGAGAAAAATAAAACCTAATTTGCTCAGTGCTCTGATCTGGCTCCACCGTGAAGGTGGAGGTGCCCTAAAGGGGAGGCTAGCCGCAGTGCAGCTCTGACGGCGTCAGATCACCTTCCCAGTGTTGCTAGACTGCATTAAAAGGCGGCTCTGGACAGCGCCCCTCCTCATCAAATGTGAGCAGCATCGTTGTCATCATCATCATCATCATCGACATCATCGCCATCGTCATCACCACCGCAGCGGAGCTTTGCAGGCATTATCTCATTTAACTGCCATTCATTCTCATTTTACAGATAAGGGATTGAGGCTCAAGGGGATTAAAACTTTTGCTCAACTTCACAGGGTTAGTAATTGGTGGAAGTGGGATTTAAATCTGGGTCTAATTCCAAAGTCAAGATTCTTTAGAGCATTAAAACAATCCTGTGTAGTAGTTAAGGCAGATCTGATTATTCCCATTTGACAGGTATGGAAACTGAGGTCCCGAAAAGTCAAGTGACTTATCTGAGGCACCTAAAGCAGCTGGGGTGTTGCTGATTTTCTAACTTTTAGACTCTAGTGTTGGCATCATTCTAGAAACACCATCCTGATCAAGCAGCAATAATCAAGAGGTCACTGAGCACTCTTCCTAGAACATCGGCAATGACAGGGATTCCAACGCATCATGAGAAATCAGTGAGATATGTATGTGCCTATTGCGAGGTGTGTGCTCATCTACTGAGTGAATGTATTCTATAGACAATGCATTTTCAACTTCAAAGTCACCTTCCTTGAATGCCTTTAGAATTTATAATCACTTTTTGTTATACTACTTCTCACTAGTATAACTCTTTTTGGCTCCGTTTGCTGTTTATCTTATTAACAAATATTTTCCAATATGCTAAAATAGGAGCAGTGTGCCCTGCTCTTCTAAATTTAATATTTTATTCTATTAAAAAAAGGAAAACGTGACTTTAGCAGCAATTTGTGACAGGACAGACTTGAATAAGTACTGAACTGCTATCAATGTGTCAATGTGTGTACATTTCAAGACGACTACAAAGAAATAATCATGCAAAATGTTTAACTACAAAGTATGGAAGCAAAGAATAAAGATCAAGCATAGAAACTAGCACTCCTTTGACAGTATAAAGGGAAGAGTTTATGTGACTATTTTTAAAAAAGACACACAGATCATTCATATCTTTATTTGGAGTTTTTTTTATAGTCTTTTAAATTATTTATCTTCCTTTAAATAGGAATGCAAATACAGGCGGTCTTCCCTTTAAGCATAAGGTGAGTGCCCACAATATTAGGTGTACACTAGCCCATATTTAGATGCTCTAAGGAAGTTCAATACTCAGCACAAAACTTCAGGGATGATGTGTGGAGAAGAAGAATAATGTAAACAATCCCCTCCAAAGGGAAGACAGCTAGAGGGATCTTTCCAGGGCCAGGCAGAGGCCTAGTAAACTGGGAAACGACAGCCTTTAGAGATGCAAATACCCCCAAGAGACTCTAGGGCACCTTTTCTTCTGCCCGGATGGAATGTTCCTTCAGGCAGAAGGAGGGGATAGTTAGTGAGCCCCTCAGCCCCCAGAAAAGAAAAGGGACAGGCAGAAATCCCACATGGGGCTGTGTTTTTCAGTATCCAGGAGAGGTAACTACCACGACGCAGGGTCCCCTTCCATAAAAACTCTGTTGTAAGTTTCGTAATTTCCCCTCTTTTGTTACTGTATAGGTTGTCCATTGTCTACCACCTGTGAAGGATGGACACTCAACATTTAACCTCTCAAATTTTAAAGAGCTCTGTGTAGTCTCTGACGGAAAAGAAGGGTGGAGATGGGGAGGCCCAGCGAGGCCTTGAGGGAAGGACTCCAAGGCCTCCCCGCCCCCCCACAGAGATAGGGAGAAACCACCAGGGGGAGGAATGCGGAGTCCCCGGGGCTTTACTGCCAGCACCCAGGGCCCAGGGAGGTTGCCAGACACCAATCTATCTTGATTTGTTTAGGTTTTTTTCTTAAAGCAGAAGTACATGTATACACATATACACACACAGACACTTAAAAAAATTATTTAAGAAAGTTCCTTATGGCACATGCCAGCCGTCTCCATCCTTTGCTTTCCCTCCCAGGCAGCCTGACTTCCTTTCTTAATCACTCAGCTCGCTGGGGGCCAGACTTTGGTCACTTTCAAGTCCTCTGGGAAGCACACAGCTCTCTACGATGTAATTACACCTAAGTGGTGTGACCTGCAGATGTCTGTGTGACATAACACTTTTATGTAGGGAAAATATAGTTTAGCACAGCCACAAGCCCTTCATATCAACTTTCCCAGTCATTTAATTTTCAATTTTCCTTTTACTAGGATCTCAAAAGATGGGCTTAAAGAAATTTGAAAATAAGGATTTTTAAATAATGTTAGACATCGTCAAAGGTTGTCCTTAGCAAGGCCTATTCTTCAGTTTGTATTTTTGAGAGCTCCAAGTCTGCAGGCTACTGGATTTAAAACTTACCCCTTCGAGGAGCGAACATAGGACAGAGACCTCTAGTGGTAACTACAGACATATAACTCGCTAAGCTGTGGGAAACACCTATTCTCAGTGCTCTCCTGAGCAGCCAGGTGGCAGTGCACAGTGCCTTGGGGGTGCTGGTTTCAGAGCATGTTCCTGCCCTTCTCCTCCTGTCTGGCTTCTCTCAACGAGGCGGGCAAGGCCACCGGGTGGCAGCCCAAATGGCATGTGCCACCTCTGTGCAATAACACACTACTGCTTAAACTTGGGCTTACTGCCTTATACTTAAGTTTTCTTGCATTTAATTAAAACTCATTACACTGTATTCTTTTATTCCTCAAAATTAAAATCTTCCTACTTTTTAAGACAATTTAATTCACTGTGTTGAGACTTTGAAGCACCCATTAGCTATGAAGTCTCTGACAATGAAGCAGGAGGGAGCATCTTTGGTGTCACAAGATAAAGCCACCTCTGCTTGCCATTAATCTTAGCATTTGCCCAGCCTGCTCCTCCAGACATGTATCCAGTGGCTATTATCTACAAATACCTGAATTATACACTGCGGTGTTCAAAAAAATTAGTAAAACCCAGTCTCTGCCCTCGAGAAACTTATGAATGAGGAGGGGAGGTAAGTACACAAATAACAATAAGGGAAAATGTGCAGATCTTACAAAATGGCATAAATAAAGTGCTATGAAACATGAGAGAGGAAGAGGTCGCTGTGGACCACTCTGGTTCGCCTGATTAGGGGAGGGGTCAGGGAAGAGGTGACAAGTGACCTGGGACTTAGGCAGTGGGCAGAACACCAGCAAACTGTGGTTCGGGTGAGGGGGGCCTCCCAGAGGGGTTCCGTCGGAGACGAGGCTGGAAGGAGGTCAGGCTCCGAGCAGGGCCTCGAAAGACAGAACAAGGAATCTGTGCGTTGTTTAGATACGCAATGGGTATCCTCTAGGTTTCCAATCAAACGAGTAAGACGACCTGGTAGGTTTCTGATCAAAGGCACACTGAAATCAAAGCAACGCTTAGGAATATTAAGCTGACAGTAATGTGGAAAATGATTAGAACATAGAAGTGAGAAGGAGAATGAAAGACTAACGAAAGGTATTTTGAAGAAAACCCGACTTGGGGACAGATAAGATCTGATTTTAGAGAGATTTTAAGCATGAGTTACTTGAAGATAAAAATGTGGCGAAGGGAGGGGCTACAGGGAAGACTTCACCCAGTTGTAGACATGCTAAGTGAGATAAGAGGAGGATATTCAATTCCAAATATCTAGCAGGCAGCCTGGGGCCTTGGGAAATGGAGTTGTGGAGAGAGAGAGAAAGATCAGGGCCAGGGGCAAGATCCAGGAAACAAATGCGCTCCCACCGGGAGCGCTCACAGAAAGAAGCAGGACAGCCCAAGCCCAAAACTCACCCCAACTCACAGAGGCTCCTGCTGAGAGGGACGAGGGCCAAGGGACAGAGTTATCAAAATGCAGATGACGACCCTCAACAGGGAAGAAAATAGGAGCAAATGCTGCACAGGACAAGGACGAGAGAGCGGAGAGGAGAGCAGTGGTTTTGCTGAAGGGGTGACCTTTGAGAAATGACTTCAGATTTCAGTCGAGTGATGGGGTAGAAACCGCAGCGCCAATGGATAGGAAGCGTGTGGGATAAGGAAGTACAAGCAAGGCCACAGATCACCCTTAGATCACAGACGGTTTTCAAGAACTTTCGTGGTGAAATACAGGAGAAGCAGCCCCATAACTCAAGTAGACAGCAGTGGAAGAAAGCGCTGATCTTTCAGAGACTGGGGGTGGGGTGTGTAAAAATATAAAATGAAAAGCACAGGATAAAAATGAAGGGTAGCATCTGGAAGCATGAGGCGGGAGGGAGGTGGTGCTCCTTAGACATGGAGAGGCCGTCTTCTGCAAGATAGGAGAGATGGGTGAAAAAACTGAGTGCAGAGACTGAGATTGATATGTTTTAAGAGAGAAAAGAAGGAAATTGGGGGAATTCATGCCATCAAGCTTCTCACTGAGTTGGAGACAAGGATAAACACTGACCGTCAGGGGATACCCGGGCTGGGGCTGGAGGAGAGAGAGGAAGGCATTAAGGAGGTCCTGCAGCTGGCTGGTAATGGACCAGACCCTGCTGACCCCGACTACAGGTGACACCAGCGAGGGTGTTTGGAGGTGGAGGGGCTGCTCAGGGCTCGAAGGTCCATGATTCTCAAGTGCTCCTGAGAGCCTGAGTAACCAAGATGGGGAAGGAGGCAAGCGAAGTCACGAGGGACTTGGGAGCACAGGAGCCTGGGGAGGGGAGCGAGACCCGTGGTCTTGCTGAGGGCAAAGAGCAGGTTTAGGGGGAAAGAGGGCCCCGGAAGTCAGAGTCCACAGTCATTAGAAATTAGTAACCACGTTAGTTACCTGGTCTGATGGACAAACAACATCTTAAAGTAATTGGAGAATGAAGCAAGAACTGATTTGTGTGCCTTGAAGTACACATCGCCGATGGCAACCGTGCAGTCACACAGGAAACCGAACTCGCGCTGAGCGTTTAACTGCTGCAGGAGAATAAGTCCATGGTTGGCCAAATCCATGTTTTTAAAAATCTGCAAAGCAAACAATTTTTTTTTTAAGAAAGGTGATTCACAAGTTAGTATGTGTCGTTTATAGTCACCAATAGTAACGATCACAGTAATGCGTCAGGCACTGCTCAAAACGTTACAGGAATTAATTTGCGTGGTCTTCACATCAGCCCTCTGGGTAGTTCGGTCCTTACTCCTGTTATAGAATGATGTATTTAGGGTGAATTCAGGGATTCTGTGATTTGTCCAAGTTTGCACAGATGGTAAGCGGAGGCGCCAGGAAATGAACTCGGGTAGTCTGCCCTTGAGACAGCAAATTTTCCTGGACCATTTAGTCTTTTAGTTTAAGATTCCAAATGCCAATTCTAATGACCCATCAGAAGTGTCAAATCTTCTGCAGAGATAAATAAATCAAGGTGGGGCTGCGGCCTGGTGGGGTCAAGATCTCCTAAGTTTGGGGCAGTTTTCCAGCTCCCACTGCGAGAACAGGGCTGCCGGGACAGGAGATAATAAGGACACATTCATTCCCGTCCTGGGCGCTCACACTCAGAGTGAGGGAGTGGGATGGGTGCCCTTCTCCTTTTGTGGGGAGGAAATGGGCTTTGAGAGGTGTGAGTAATTCAACAAGGCCATCAGTAGAGGGTGGGGAAGTCAACATTTAAATCTGAATGTTCAGACTCCAAATTCTAAGATCTTCATTCCTCACACTTCACCCAAGCTCGTCACTGGGCCTGACTCTCTTTCTAGGAGGACGTGCCTCTAGAGGGGCTGGGGCATGAAATCAGCAGCCTGCTCCTTTCCCAGAGTCACACAGCATTTGTAAAAGCCCACTACACATCAATCAACATTATACTGAACAGTGTACTTCACGGTTAGAAAGAGTAGATGCTTTCTCCCTAAGATTGGGAACGAGGCAAGAATGGCCACTTTCTCTAGTCAACACAGCACTGGAAGTTCTAGCCAGTGCAATAGAGCAAGAAAGGAAATAAAAGGCAAGCAGACAGGAAAGGAAGGAATAAAACTGTCCCCATTTGCAGATGACATGATTATTATGTAGAAAATCCCAGGGAATCTACAAAAACTCCTAGAACTAATAAATGAGTTTGGCAACACCATGGGATACAAGATAAACATCTAAAAATCGATTGTAATTCTATATACTAACAGTGAACACATGGACACTGAAATTAGAAATACAGTATCACTTGCAATCCCCCCAAAATGAAACACATAGGTGTAAATGAAACAAAACACGTATAGGAATTGTATGTTGAAAACTACAAAATGCTGATGAAAGAAATTAAAGAAGATCTAAATAAGTGGAGAGACATACCATACTTATGGTTTGGAAGACTCAACAGAGTAAAAATACCCATTTTTTCCCAAATTGACACAATTCTTACCAAAATCCCAGCAAGATTTCTTTCCTAGACAGACAAGAATATTTAAAAATGCACGTGTAAAGGTAAAGAACCAGCTAAAACAATTTTCAAAAAGAGTAATAAAGTGGGAGGAATCAGTCTATCTGATTTCAGGATATATTATATAGCTACGGTATTCCAGACTGTGCGGTACTGGTGGAAGGATAAACACACAGATCAATGGAACAGAATACTAGGAGTAGACCCACATAAATACGCACAGTTTGCTGACAAAAGCACAAAAGCAATTCAGTGGAAGAAGAATAATGTTTTCAACAAATGGTGTTGGATCAACTGGACTTCCATAGGCCAAAAAAAAAAAAAAAAGAACCTTGATCTAAGTCATATACTTTATCTAAAAGTTAACTCAAAATGCATCACAGACTCAAATATAAAACACCAAACTATAAATTTTGGGGGAAAAAATGGGAAAAAATCTTAGGGATCTAGGGATAGATACAGAGTTTTTATACTTGACATCAAAGGTACAATCCATAAAAAGAGAAATTGATAAACTGGATTTTATTGAAATTAGAAACTTCTGTGAAAGATCCTGTTAATAGGATGAAAAGGCAAACCAAAGACTATGAGAAAATATTCGAAAAGCTTTGCAAACTAGTCCTTTGACAAAGGACTAGCATCTAGAATATATAAAGAATTCTCAAAACTCAACAGTAAAAAAACAATTGAGTTAGAAAATGGGCAATTGACTTGAAAGATCACTGTACCAAAGAGGACATACAGATGGCAAATAAACACATGAAAAGATACTCAACGTCATTAGCAATTAGGAAAAGCAAATTAAAACCACAATGAGATTTCACTACAGACCTATCAGGATGGCCAAAATAAAAAATAATGACAACAACAAATGCCGCCAAGGATGCCAAGAAACTGGCTTGCTCATACATTGCTGGTGGGAATGTAAAATGGTGTACCCACTCTGGAAAACAGCAGTTTCTTAACAAAAAACTAAATATGCAACTGCCATACAACCCAGCAATTGCACTCATGGATATTTATCCCAGAGAAATGAAAACTTATGTTCACACAAAAACCTGGACATGGTGGGGCCGGCCCCGTGGCTGAGTGGTTAAGTTCGCGCCCTCTGTTTCGGCGGCCCAGGGTTTTGCTGGTTCAGATCCTGGGCACGGACACGGCACTGCTCATCAAGCCACACTGAGGCGGCATCCCACAGGCCACAACTAGAAGGACCCACAACTAAAAATACACAACTATGTACCGGGGGGCTTTGGGGAGAAAAAGGAAAAAATAAAATCTTTAAAAAAAAACCCCAAAACCTGTACATGGCTATTCACAGCAGCTTTATCCCTCATACCCCAAAAATAGAAACAACCCAGATGTTCTTCAATGGTAAATAGATTAAACACAGTGTGGTACACCCATAGAACAAAAAACTACTCAGTCACATAAGAAGAAATGAACTATTGATACACGCAACAAGGTGGGTGAATTACGCTGAGTGAAAAAAATCAACCCCAAGAGGTTACCCCTACCGCATGATTCCATTTATATAACATGCTTGAAAATTACAGAAATGGAGAACATATGAGTAGTGGAGATGGGGTGAGGGGAGCAGGTGGGAAATGGGTTTGCCTAAAGGCGGGCAACATGAGGGATCCTTGTGGACAGCAATGCTCTCTACCTCAACTGTCTCAATGTCAATATCTTGGTTGTGATATTGTACTACAGTTTTGCAAGACGTTTCCAGCAGAGGAAATGGGTAAAGGGTATATGGGATCTCTCAAATGATTGATTTCTTGCAACTGCACGTGAATCTACAGCTATGTCAAAAGAAAAAGCTAATTAAAAAAAAGTCCACCATATTAATTAATTAGCCAGATTTTTTACAATGGATAACTATGATGCTTATCTTCAGAATTAGGGAAGCTACTGTGAAGAATGCATTACCAATAAGCTTAAAAACAAAAAAAGAAAAACAAAACGGACACACAGCAATTCTTACTCAGCTGGTGCTGAACTCCCCACTCTCCTTCCTGTTCTGGGGATGGTTGGGGCAGATTCGGAAATTAACAAGCCAGCTCCCAAATGATTCCCAGAACGAAAGAGAATCCGACTTTAAGTGAATGATCAGGTCACAGAGCAAGAAGCCAGGATGTCAAGTTTCGTGTTTTCCCCAAGAGCCACATCCAAAGATGAGAGGAGCAGGGCTTGCAGTGATGGAGGTACAAAGACCTAGACTGAGGATTCATTTAAGCACGGGCATCAATGGTATGGCTCAGAACTTAGTTATCCAACGTTTTGTGTGTCTGTCAGAGAAGGTGAAAGTACTAAGATGGGGCAGGGGCGGCAGAGAAGAAGCATGGGGTTCAGGATGAAAGCCAGAGACGCTGCCAGGCTGCAAAGTAACCCAGATTACAAGGAAACATCTCTAACCTGATCTCCACCATGATCTACGCTTAGAAGCTTGTCTTCAAGGCTGTTCTCTGGAAAGTGCCAGAACATTCATTTTCCATCTTTCTAACCTGCCTTCCTCTACAAAAAGGTATAATAATATCCTCTAAAAGCAGACTGTGATGAGCTGCTTTATCACGCACTGACTCTGATCACAATTACCTACACGTTTAGGCAGCTTCCGGTGTCACTTTCGCAGATGGAGCTTCAAGTACAGTCACACATTACTATTTATCCCTTGGTGACAAGGACAAGAGTGGCTATTACTTACGGAGTGTTTACTATTAACCATTCATTTCTACACGTTATTCACTTAATTTCACACTAACTTGAGCTCTTTGAGGTCTCGCCACCCATATTTTACAAATGAGGAAACAGGCGTAGAAAGGTTAGGTGGGTCGCCCAAGATTATGGAATCCATAACGCAAGTGGGATTTAAACTGGGGTTCATTTGATTTGTCAGAACGTACTACGTGTAGGCATGTTTGTTTGTTTCAAATTAATAAGAAACATTATTATTATTTTTTTTTAAAGATTGGCACCTGAGCTGACAACTGTTTGCCAATCTTCTTTCTTTTTTTTTCTGCTTTTTCTCCCCAAACTCTCCCAGTACGTAGTTGTATATTTTAGCTGTGGGTCCTTCTAGTTGTGGCATGTGGGACACTGCCTCAACATGGCCTGATGAGCAGTGCCATGTCTGTGCCCAGGATCTGAGCCAGTGAAACCCTGGGCCACTGAAGGGGAGCATGTGAACTTAACCACTCAGCCACGGGTCCGGCCCCTAAGAAATACTATTTTTATTGCTGCTTTAAAGGATATATACTTGTTGTAAGAGATTCAAATATTATGGTGACAGTTGTCCACCCCACCCACCCGCACCAGTCTCCCCAGACTCCAGCCAACAATGGGTATTGCTATTTTTTTTTGATTTTTTTTTTTTTTGGGTATTGCTATTTTTTAAAGAATCTTTGCCAATATCATTTTACCTTCTATGGATTTAATGATGAACTGAGTACATTTTTATGTTTATTGATCATTTATATTTCCTGTTGTATCTCTGCATGTGCTTTGCCCATTTTTCTATGGGGCTGTCTTTTCCTTATCCATCTTTAAAACCCTTTGTATATGAGAAAATAAGCCCTTGGTCACACATGTTGCTAATATTTTTTGCACTTTCTTTTGACTTTGTTTTATAGAGGCTTTTTAACATATATAATTTTATGTTTTAATGTCACCAAATTTATCAATATTTTATAGGAAGATTTTGAGGTTTTCTCATTATAACATTAACTGATACATATCACTTCCTTTGATACAGCAAAATGTATGGCTCCTTCTTGTTCCATAAACAGACTAATATAAGTATTTTATTAAGACCATAAGGATGAAGCCATGATAAAACTGCGAATCATTTATTTTTTAAGGGTGTCTACTAGTTATTTTTAGGATCTCAATTTAGGAACATCTAGAATAGGAAACAAACTGAACATGTCTTTCAAATATAGAGGGAAGAACACGTGTGCAGGAGTCTCAGAGAAGTGTAAAAACCAAATAAACGGAGGAAAAAAGAAGAGAACGAATCATATGTTCAAAATTCACATAGAAGAAAAAACTTCTGCACAGATCAATTTTTACAAATCTTATTTTAGGCACCAAAAAACCTTTCTCAGGAAGAAAAATAAAATCAACCCCCCTAGATTCTCACCAATGTGAATGAGCCTGAGAAAATCGAGTGCGAAGTAGGAGGGAGAAGGGAGGAGGGCGGGGACTGGCCTGGATTCTACCAGAAGTGTATCACCAGCGGCTCCTATCCCACCCCAGCTCAGCTGACACTACTGCCCTTTTCCAAATCTTCTTTCCTCATCAGGGCCCCCTTCATAGTCTTTTCCATGAGGCTTTGCTTGCACAAGAATGCTGCGCAGGCTGAGGACGGAGCATCTTCCTGCGCTGGCTCTGCTCGCGGCTACTCCCCCTTTGTGGAAATGGATGTCTGCTTGTCAACCGCATCCCTCCTGCCCCCCTCCCCCCCAACGCTGAAATGGCTCCACAAGGTCACAGAGGACTTCAGCTCCCCAGAGGACCTCAGTTCCCCAGCTCTATGGACTGGCAGCTCACTCGACCTCTCTGCGGCGTTTCACCCGCTTCCTCCTGCTCCATAAATATTCTGTCCTGGCTTCCAGGCCACTGTGCTCTGGTTTTCATCTCACCTCTGGCTATTCTATTTTAATCTCCATCAAAGACTCTTCTTTTGCTGATGCTCCTCTGCCTTTGGTTCACAGCCCACTTCTCGTTCTGCAGACTCTCTTCGGTGATTTGATCCACTTCCACTTGGCTGTCCCACAGGAACTCTAAATTCAATCTGGGCAAAACAACTCACATTTTCCCCCTCCCCTCACCCCGACTTCCCCCAAAGGACAATAAAAGCCACAGCCACAAACTTGTTCCTTCTGTACCCCCAGCTCATGGCGTCATCACCCAGCCCTTGATCAAGCCAGGAATCTCAGTTCCCCTTTCTGGCCTCCACCTCTCTCGCTCCCCACAGCCGTCGGTCACCACATCCCACCAATGTGAACTCTTTATCCAAGCGCCATGCCTTAGCCCTGCCTCTCCACGCATCTCCCTGTTTCCAGCTCTAGCCTCTCCAATCCATCCACAGCGATCTTTCCAAAGGGCACATCTGATGTTGCTATCCTGCTTAAATCCTCCTGTGATTCCCGACTGCCTTTAGGATGAAAACCAAATTCCTCAGCATAGCTTGGCCGGTCCCGCATGCCCTAACCCCAGCTGACTCTGCGCTACATGCTCTAGTGCTGAGCTACACTAATGGTTTCCAGACTTGCGGGTTTCACAGGCCTACTGAACACAAAGCAAACGACCTTGAGACTGGGGGTCCACCCGAGTGTGGTTCCCTCTTTACTTTGCAAGAAAAGACATAAAGTATTCATGTTCCCAGTAGGAATGGGGGACTGTTAAATATCAATAGGCAGAATGGACATAATGTCAGAATATCTTTCTAAAGGAAGGACAGTTGGCACCATGTTCAATATATGGAAAAATCATTTTTTTCTACTGCAAAAACATTACAACATAAAATTTTACTTTATGACATTAAGTTGTGCCTAATTCTTTTCTGGATACAAGACTGTCCATCTGGTGATCTTTACGAAGAGATCATCAAGTGTCCCACTTGTTCTGAAGTTCAAGCGTTATCAAAAATCCAGTTTCATCTGAGTATGTCGATGATAATGGAGACATAACAATGTTATTTCACTCATGTTGGAAATTCTAGAAAAACTGAGAAAAGCTAAAGAAGAGGAGTTTTCTTTCTCCCGGAGGTCCTGAAGGCCCAGGCCACTCTTGGGCTCCTGACAGTCTCCAACACTCACTGTTCAGAGGCCTCCACCCAATGCTGGGCAGCTTAGCAACTCAACTTCCACTTACACAATCAGGAGAGGGGGCCTGTCTGAACAGAGCCTTGGAACCTGTGCACTGGACCTTTGCACATGCCACGTTCAGAGGCACATACCACTTACCGCCTGCCCCACCTCCTCCAGCGCTAGCTGTTTTCTGCAAAATTCCCCTGACCCTCAAGACTAGGAGGCTCTTCTTGCCTCCTGAGGATCTGTGAACATGCCAGTTTACACGCCTGCCTGATGCTTCCGGAAAGCCAGCACTCAGTCTCATTTATCATTTACTACTTTATCCCATGTGTCTGGAATATTGTCTGGTGTTCACTACTTGTTAAATAAATTAATAACTGTATGTTTGGAGGGGAGAAGAGCGTTGAGTTCCAGTCATGGTGTGGCCTCTCACTAGCTGGCTGATTTGGGGTAAAAGTTCAATTTCTATCTATCCTAGATTAACCTAAAAAAATCTCACTGATTTACTGCATACTAGATTTTAGAATTTTAAAATGCCATTTCGTGTTTCTTCATGCTAATGATTAAGTTATGAATAGTGCTTTATAGTTTACAATGACCCTTCACACATAACATTTAATCCTTGATAATACCATGGTATATTGTTGTCTTTCAAGTCATTATTAATTCTAGTAATTAACAACCACAGCATTAATAACAAATGACCACTTATGATGTGCCAAAGATCAGTTATCCTCTTTCCAGAAGAAGAGATTTAGACTTAGAGGAATTAAGTAACTTGCCCACAGGTAGGGCTAGCTCTTAAGAAGCAGATCCGGAAGTGGTCAAATATTTGGATAGTTTTCTAAGGTGCCGGGCACAGCGGACGCAATGGCATGCAGAACACAGAGTTCCAGGGTGCAATCAAATAAGTACACAAATTTATAACAGTCACCTCTGATAAAAGCTATCAAAGAAAAATACAAGGAAATCTCAGGTCACAAAACTGGGGGCTCCTTTGGGGATTGGGAGTCAGGGAAGGCTTCTGTGAGGAAACGCCAGTTAAGCAGATGTTTGAAGGATGAGAAGAGTTAACTGGGCAAAGATGGATTCCAGGCAGAGGGACCAGCATTTGCAAAGGCCCTAAGTTAGGAGGGAACAAGATGCAACTAAGGAACTGAAAGGTCAGTGTGGCTGATGGGCAAAGAGCCAGAGAAGAATGAGTCAAGATGAGGCTGGCGACGCAGGTCTTCTTAAGGACTTTGGTCTGCATTTTAAAAGCAGTGGGAAGCCACTGAAGGGGGTTTTAGACAGGGTGATGTGATCTACAATATATAGATCATTCTGATCTGATCTGTGTGATCAGATGCCTGCAACTGCAGAACTAACCAAACTGGGGGCGGGGGGGGTGGGGTGGTAAAGAGGTAGGTGAAGGGAGACCTGACAGATGTGGTTGAGAAGGGAGATCTTCCAGTAGTCTAGAAGAGAGAGGACAGATGGGGGGGTGGAGGGGTGGTAGTGATGAAGATGGAAGGAGAAGGGCAGGATTAGAAAGATAGTTAGAAGACAAAAAGTCAACCCAACTAGTTGGTGGCTGAGATGGAGGAGGATGGGAGAGGAAGGTGTCCACGATGACTCCCAGACTTCTAACTTGTATAACCGGATAGATTGTGGGGCTCCGCCAGGAGAGGGAACACAGGCAAAACCCCCAGTTTTGTGGGTAAGACCATGAGGTTAGGTTCAACATGCTGGACTGAGATACTCCTGAGACAGCCAAGCAGAGATGTAGAGGACAGGCTGGTTCTGTTGGTCTGGAGCTCCGAAGTTTGGACCATGATTTCTGTCGGAGAGTCTTTGGAGAAGCCAGGTGTGTCTGACTCCAGAAGTCACAGCCTTCAATCACTACGTGATAGTTCACAGAGGTTAAAACTGCAAACAGGAGTCAATGACCACTCGTCTTCTGGGTGTAAATTTCATGCTCTTTCCACTACCTTGCTCTACAGATCATTCCTAAAAGTTCTTATTCATCCTAGTCACAGGGGGCCAACAATGTGACACGAAACTGAAGACCCAAATAAAGCCCCCCCAACCACTTAACACTGTAAACGGAACTTAAAAAAACATTTACCTTTCCTAAATCAGAATAGTGAGCAGAGAAGAACTGAAGAAAAGTAGAGCCGGGGCGGAGAGGCAATTCTTAAATGCGGGTTTTCATAGAACGTCTTCTTTATGTATGTATATGTGTATAAAGTGATTTTTTTCTTAAGTAAATTCCGAGACTTTAAGACGTATCATGTTGATAAACTGTAAAAAACAGTTTCAAAGCCAAATATAAATGATCATGTATATGATTTAATGCTCTGGCTTTGATCTTCACCCCTGTTTCCCACACTGATAACGGGATCCCACCCAGACGTCGAGTGCCTCCAGCTTCCACCACATAGCACATGTGGGCTCATCCTTAAGTTACTCACCTTTTGGACGGGCAGCCAAATGGGATGAATATAATCATAATTTATTTTGACAACCTAAGTTCCTCTTTCACTTTCAGTATAAGAACAGGAGACGAAACAGCTTTTGGGAATTGATGATTCATTTTTTAAAGATAATAGCTCTTCTAAGATACTAAATACCACTTAGACTACCCACTTCAAGGGCACTAAAAGGGTCTTCTTCGGAAGCCCGTGATTTCATTTAAGAGAAGCATAAATGAACGCTGGAATGCACGGGACATACCAGTAACAGAGATAGCACCACCCGCGAGGAAGATTGATTCTTTCAAGCAGTTTAGACCACTTACTATTGAAAAAATGGCTTTTTCAACGAGTATTATTAATAATTAATATTTGAAGACCCATAAAGTAAACTTGAATGAGGCCGGTCATTTGAATTTTAGCATATTTTTAAAGTATTTCAAAGCCAGGAAATGTACCTTATTTGGTTGTGGTGACAGATTAGGATAATTTTCTTAGCATTTCTTTAGTCAGTCCTCTTCCATAGTAATTAGAAAAAGGAGGGACATGAGCAAACCGTAACACTTGTTTTGACTTTGGAAAGCATTGCCTTTGTAAAAGATTTGTCTTTTCCATTATATTTTGCTGAAGTTAATGTTAAAATTAGTTTTTAATTTCTGAGTATAAGTTGAGGTGAGAAGGAGGCAGTTCAGGGACAGTTTACGTGACAAGGAGAAGCAGGTCAGAGGCTTATGGCTAATAAAGAGTGGATATTAAAGTGATAATTCTAAAGGCATTATGCTACAACCAATTTTAAGGAAAGCTACATATGGCCAAACAGCAAAATTTAAAACCTAACCTAATTTGCTTCTAATAACCCACCAAAGTAGATATTGCCTTCCTGTTTTATATGTTGTATGATGATTAACAAACTCAAGCTGAAGAAAATATAATCACCTATAGTGTATGTCAGAGAGGAGCTGCAAATGAGTTTTAACTCAGAGTCTTAACTGAGTAATTTATTTCAATATTTTAAGGTAGGGGTTCTCAAACTTTCTGGTATCAGGACACTCTTTAAAATTACTGAGGACAAGAAAGAACTTTTGTTTATATGGAATATAACTATTGATATTTACCATAAGAGAAATTAAAACTGAGAAAAATTTTAAAACATATTAATTTAATTAAAAATAGCAATAATAAGCCCATTGCATGTCAACATAAATAACATTTTATGAAAAACTAATTATATTTTCCAAAATAACAAAGAAATAGTGAAGTGGTATCTTTTTATATTTTTACAAATCTCTTTTTATTTTATTTTATTATTATTTTTTAAAGATTTTATTTTTCCTTTTCCTCCCCAAAGCCTCCTGGTACATAGTTGTATATTTTTAGTTGTGGGTCCTTCTAGTTGTGGCATGTGGGATGCTGCTTCAGCATGGCTTGATGAGCGCTGCCATGTCCGCGCCCAGGATCCGAACTGGTGAAACCCTGGGCCGCCAAAGCAGAGCAAGTGAATTTAATCACTCGGACACAGGGCCGGCCCCATACAAATCTCTTTAATAAAAACATCTGGATTCTGCATTTACTCTGCTTCTCCATTTACTCTGTTGTGAAATCTGTTTTGGTTGAGGATTGAAGAAAATCCAGCCTCACCTACATATTTAGGTGGAAAAAGAAGTATTTTAATAGCCTTTTCAGGTAAGTGTGCATATTCTTCTTTGATACTACACCAAAACTTGACAAATGGTAGTTTCTCAAAGGTTACTTGTGTGATATAAAAGTATCTCAATGAACGAAATTTCCCTACTCTATTACAGTAAAATTCATTGCTCTCTCTTGCACTTTGCATGGATCTTTTATTCGTGCATAATTTTAACATCATCCAGTGGCCATTTGGAAAATATCAGCTCAGTGAGTTATGCAGATCTTTCCAATGTCAACACATGTTGTCAACAATGAAAAAGGCCAATAACGTCTTAGTGTCATGATGAAAATAGTTTTGACCTTGTGGAACCCTGAAAGGGTCCTGGGGATTCGCAAGGGACCGGAGACCACACTTAGACAACCCCTGTTCAGAGTCAGTTTGGGGTCTTGGACAATCTAAGTGACTAGGCGTAGCATGGGAGAACACACGCACACTTTGAAACCATCTCAAGATGATTCTGATGCTCACCTTGGCTTGGTGCAGAACTTAGGGGTGCACACTGTCTAAAGGAAGTGTACACTAAAACCTCTTGTAAAGTAAAAAAGTTGTTTTGTACGTACTTACCCAGATACATAAAAGTGCTTTACAAACTCCTATCTTTGCACACTGAGCTTTCTTTAAATGAGAAAGTCACATGATGCATACCACAAGCATGTGAACTGCAGATTTTGTGTTTGAGCATAAATACCAGACTCTAACTTGGCCTTTGTACCATAAAAAGAAATGGTCCTAGGGGCCAGCCCCGTGGTTGAGTGGTTAAAGTTCCGGGCACTGCGCTTTGGCAGCCTGGGTTTGTGGGTTCGTATCCTGGGCGCAGACCTACTCCACTCATTAGCCATGATGTGGAGGCATCCTACATACAAAAAATGGAGGAAGACGGCCTCAGATGTTAGCTCAGGGCTAATCTTCCTCAAGCAAAAAAAGAGGAAGATTGGCAATGGATGTTACTCAGGGCAAATATCTTTCTCACCAAAAGAAAAGGTCCTAAATGTTTTGGACTGTCAACTTATGCTAATTGTTCTGTATCTACTGACTCCATCATGTAACACCCTATCAGCACTGTAAAACACTGAATCTTATTTACTATCAACGTAAAGTAATATTCTAATTAAAATTTAATTTGCTAATAAAAATTATAACCTACTTGAGCATAAACAAGGTTTAAAAAATGTTCTCGATCTAATGCTTAGAATGTTTACATTTTTTCCTTCTTCAGGAAAATAAAAAGTCTCAATTCCCTTTTAGGCTTTCGAGGTCACGCCTTGGTGATCAGACAACCATAAGGAAGTAGGAAAAATGACACATGCCCTTTTGCAATTGATGGTGAAGCCTCCAGCTGATCAGCAGTTCTTCATTTACTGTGACAGCCTGGCGCCACACTACTTGCCCAGAGTTACTTCCGGGAAAGGTGAGCGGGTCTAGGGACAAAGCACCAAGAGACAGTTAAGAGATGACCGAAGCTGATCTCAAGAAGCTGATCCCAGGCCAATGCCTCAGAAATCTCCATCACTCCCTACCTCCATTTCAGCCATTCTCAAGCTGGAGAAATCACAGGCCCTTTTTGGGATATGCAGGGTTTACAAGGTGCATCTTCTTAGAGTGTTGGGTTAAAGAAAATTTTATATAATTTTTATATTACAAAAGTACAGATTTTGGAGGACAGTGCAAAGTTCACATTAATCTTTAAGATAGAAAAGAAACTGTCACCATGGCAGCTTTTATTCTATGACTTAAATGTGTAGCGTTTATGCTCTGCTGCTGGAGTATCTGGGTGGAAGAGCTTGTGGAACACCACCTATTTACACCCTCTTCGAAGAGAAGCTTTAAAACTGACAAGTAAGTAGCTGGACTATACAACAAAGCTTTAGGGGTGGTTTATCTGCCACTTTTTAATGGACCCCTCCACTGTTACTTTTGGTGGCACTTAATACCACTGGTATATTACTTCTTGTACTTTGAGATCTTACGATGGTTTCAGTAACCGATAAGTTCCTTGGCTAGAAAATAAACCACAAATTACGGTGAAAAACACCCAGTTTAAAGGAACGTAGTATTGCTTGTAAACTTTCTACTTAAAAATTACCTGTAACAGTGTGAAAACACCCTGGATACAGACTAAGGTTACTTAGGATGCAAAAGAAAATTTAACAATTAATTTTGGCTTATGATAAATCAGAGAAATGATTTGAAATGTCTTAATTCTGATTTTCTATGAAAACTTCAGGCCTCTCTGAGCAAAGTGCTCGCGGTATGTACACCCTGCTCCGGTGCTCCAACAAGGTCCACCTAGACAGTCCATGCTAGAAAGGACAGGGCAGTCCGTTTAAGGAAACCCAGAGCACACGGAGTTCTGTGAGCCCGTAATTGCGACTTTCTTTGTGCTTTCACTAAAAAAAACCTATGGAAAGCAACACAACCGAGGCTCGTACCCCAAGTGGGCTTACTCTATGATGAAGAGCAAAGGAACACTGTAGACAGGTGGGGAGCAAAGAGCCTGGCTGATTCCCCTAAGGCAGCAGCTGGAAGCCCCTGCAGTAAACGGCGTGGCAGCAACTAACAGTATTTGCACGGTCCAAGCACTGCCTCGCCTGCTCTGCTACCCTGCTTTCCTCTTTACTGCCCTCTGCAATTCACTACCAGCTACAAGAGACAAAACCCGTGCTTCCTGAGCATCTTCTGTATCATCACTTTCTCGGCAGCCTTGATTAAAAATTAAAGGCTTGGGGGCTTCGTTACACCGAGCACGGCTCGGGTCCCTGGAGCGGCCCCCGCGCCCCACCGCCCCTCCGCCCCTCCGCCGAGCCCCGCCGGGGTGTGAGGCCGGGAGCGCGGCTGTGACGCGGGTCCCACGCCCCGAGGCGGCGCAGCCAGAAACCGCAGCGCAGCTCCGGGCCGGCCTCGGCCTTATCGGGGCGAAGATCGCCCGCCGAGCGGAAGCTCGAGGCCGCCGGCTCAGCGCGCCCACACTCGCGCCCGGGGCCGCAGCGGCGACCGGGCGGCGCCCACCGACGCCCGCATTGCCCCCGCCCAGGGGAGAGCGGCCCAACGGCCGCCCCGCCCCGCCCCGCCCCAGGGGGCGGGGGCTCGGCCGGGGGCGGGGTCGGCCACACCGGCAGGGGCCCGGCGGGCCCGGGAGCCGCGCACCCCGGCCCCGCCCCCGGCCCCGAGGGGTTGAGAGGAGGGGTGGGGCGACGCACTCCGGCCGCGCCGCACGCTCTCCGCCTCCCTCAGCCCCGCGTGCGCGCGCGCGCTCGCCCCAAGTCCCGCGGAGTTTAACACAATGCCGACGCCTACGCCGTGCGCAACGCCCCGGCCGGCGCAACAGCCCCGGCGCCGGGGGCGGGGGGTGACCAGACAGGGAGAGGGGAAGAGCGCGCGCGAGAGCCGGAGACAGCGCGAGACCCGAGGAGGCCGGAAGCGCGCGTGCGCGCCCCCGCCCGCGAGCGAGGAGGCGGAGCCACAGCAGTAGCGGCAGCAGCTGTAGGAGCCGCTGCAGCTGGGAGAAGCGCCAGAGAGGCCGGGCCTGCTCCGGTCGGACCGGATCCCTCCCCTCCCCCTCCCTCTCCGCTCCCCTCCCCCAAACCCACTTCCGCAGCTCGCGCGGCCTTGCCGCCGAAGAAGCAGCGGCGGCAGCAGCCGGAGGCGGCGGCGAGGCGTCGGGAGGAGTACGCACCTGACGGGCCCGCCTCTCGGGGCTCCAGCGCGGGACGCTCACCGGCCGCCGCCGCTCGGGACGCGCTTCGCGGTGGCGGCGGGCAGGGAGGGACCGGCGACGGGGAACGGAACGCGAATAGCCCCCCTCCCCTTCCTCCCTCCCTCCCTCCCTCCTCCCTCCTCCGATCCGCCGCCCGCCCTCTCGGCTTCCGTCCCCTCCCCCTCCCGCAAAGCCCCGGATGGAGCCGCCGCCGACTCGCCGCCGCCTGGCTCCGGGGGATGGTTTTGTCAGGCGGCCAGAGCCCCGGCGCCAGGCGCCGCCGCCGCCGCCCCCGCGGGGCGCCCGAGCCCTCGCTTCCCAGAACCAGGCCCGTGTGCTCCGGGCCCTCCGCCTGCCTTCCCCCCGAGCCCGGGGCCGGGGTCATTCGTCCTCTTTGTTGCCACCGTCGCTGCCGGCACGGTTGGCGAGCCCCGGCGGCTCCCGCCCCCCTCCGCCTCCCCGGAGCCCGGGCCGGGGGCGGCACGTGGGCAGCGGCCCCGGGAGGCGGAGGCGGCGCGCGCTTACCTGTCGCCGGTGCTGCTGCTGCGGCGGGGGTGTGGAGGAGGCCCCGCTGGGCAGCCCTGGCCGCGCTCTCCCCGCCGCCGCCGCCTCTGCGCTCGCTGCTGCTGCTGCTGCTGCTGCCGCCGCGGTCGGTGTCTCCGGCGCGGCGGCGGCGGCGGCGGCGGGGCTTTTCCTGTCCGGTTACG